CAGATCCAAATGAAAGGAGAACCACCTATGCGAATCAAAAGAATAATTCTTTGGGGAGGGAGGTGTGAGAAATCAGTACAGCTGCATGGAAGGACACCACATTTGAGATTGGTCTGGATAGTTTGAAGTTTTGCACAGGGCATTGTTAGCACAGGAAGTTAATTCTAAGCAATGGGTAAAATAGGAGAGAGATATCATGGGGATTAGGAAACAGACCAGCTTAGCTAGACTAATGTGCAGACTTAGAAGACTCATGGAGGATAAAGTTGGAGTAAAATACTGTCATCATAAAGAGGAAGCCCTGAATATCAATCCAAAAAAAATCATGTTTTAGTTCTAAAAGTAGAACTAAAGGAAGGCATTAAAAAAGATTGTGTGCAGGAGAATAAGACCCAAATTAGATTTTAGTAAATGTGGATGGTTTTGAGTGGAGAATGGCAGTCAACGAAATCAGATACAACCATCATGGCGTGGAAAGCATGCACACAACATAACCTTGGGTGATAGATTGCGAACTGAAGAAATAGGCAGACATAAAAGCCAAGAGAGAAGCAGTCCAAGTACCTTAGAGAAGATGTTTCTGCCTTTTTAAAGCTGCCTGCCTCAAAAAAAGTATGACATTATTTACAATATCCGGACAACATATTGTTTTTAGAGGACAGAAGTCTTTTCAGATACACTGACTCTAAGGTGTTAGTAAAACTTGCTGATGGGTCTGATCACCAGGGCAGATAATGGGCTGTACAGCACTGGAGAAGAGCAATGGGCCAAATCTATAAGACAAAAACTAAAACGCAGACCGATTAGGGTGAACATAGAATATGAAGATAATTAAAACAACCTTGTGAAAGTTGCACAAAATGAACAAAAGAAAAATAATAAGAGTCATAAAAGGAGATGTGAGGGTGGTGGGAGAAAGCAGAATACTTCAGTGCCATAGAAGGCGCGACACTCATTCAACATTTGTTGTTGAGCAAACAGTACCTATCAGACCTTGTACTAGGTACTAGGAATAAAGTGGAGGCCAGGGTCTCATAGCTGAGCTTTCATGGAGTTCACAGTCGCTCAAAGAATGTTAGTGGACAGCATGAAGCCTCACAAGGAGTTCAGGAGGATGTGACAAAAAGCCATCAGCACTTACAGGTAAATGAAAAATAATTGGGTAATTCTGCACCTAGGGATGGATAGATTTGTAGCAATAGGTGCATTCAGATCACCTGAAAACATTTCTGAGAATGGTAAACAAGACACTCATACCTTTTCTTCTCCTTCATCTCTTTTTTTCTCTCAGTCATTCATGTTGTATCTCTCTCTCTCTCTCTCTCTCTCTCTCTCTCTCTCTCTCTCTCTCACACACACACACACACACACACACACACACACACACACACACACAC